AATGTTTGGAATCTAAAATGGTTTTTGTACTGAATCAATAATGTAGAAGTCAGAAAATAAACATCTATAACAAAGTTTATATGAAAAAAAATATAGGGTGCCAAGACTTTTGCACAGTACTGTATATAGAGAGACGCTGTTTTACTTTGGCTCTAGTGATGCTTTGACACTAAAGGCTTTAGAGAAGAAAATTTAAGAAAGTATAGTAATTCTATAGTAATTCTAGGTAGAGCCATGTTGACATGATTGCGCCACGTAATTGCTGCAGATTTCTCAGCTGCTGTAAATCTCCTGTTCTCCCACATCCTGAAAGTGCTCCATTGGTATCAGATCTGGTGAATCGAGTCACAACGTTTATTGTCATATGTGCAAGTACCATGTACAAAGTACAATAAAGTTCTTGCTTGAATGCTTCTTCACTGACTATAAACAGGACAAAAGATCTGCAGATATAATAGGCTACAAATTTGTTTATTTAACAGTGACATTGCAAAGCCTAGTGTCATCTGATGCAAGTAGATAAAGATTTTAGCATGTATGTGCAGAATAGACTTTGGGTGATGTATACATCCATTAGCATGGCAGCTCAGCTGGCTAGTTCAGTTGGAAGGGCATGAGACTCACAATCTCAGGATCGTGGGTTTGAGCCTCACGCTGGGTGCCGAACCCTATCACTGGGGTTGCATGAGCTAGTGTAGTCCCAGTGCTAGACACAAGTGGGGTAAAATGGGAGGGTTGAGTCAGGAAAGGCATCTGGCATTAAAACCTGTGCCAGATCAAAATATGTGGATCCCAGATTTCCATAATGGAGGTGGAGGATCTGCTGTAACAACCACTAAAGGGGGCAGCTGACAGAACAACAACATGCTTCCATGAGAAACTATGAAATAAAATAAATCTCATTTATTCAGTCAAACAATAAGTAAAGGACAAATATTTGGTCAGTGTCTAAACACATTACTTCTTACTTCACTTACAGGCACGAGCCAGATTTGGCTCCCAGTGTTCAGCTAAAAGAACCAGTTCAAAGAGTCGACTCTTTCCAGAACGACTCATCACTCACAGTGAAAGTGTTTGTCCCTCAACCTGGACGCCATCTTCACTGCCTGTTAACTAAACGTGAGTAATTTCTTTAATAGAAACTACATTTTTATATATAAAAGATTAGTATATATTTGATATAAAGTTTGTAAAGCTGGGTTTTATTCAATGTGTACAAGTTACTCCAGTTTCTCTCCTCTATTTCTCATGAATTAAACATTCACAACCTTTGGGCTGTTTAGCTTTACCAGTGAGGAACTAACATAATGTGTTTTAAAATATATATTTCATTACAGCATGGTCTGACTGCTGTCCACTGTCTGTTTAAAACTCTTATTTCCTGCATGCCATTTCCTGTTTATTAGTGTCTCATAACAGAGATAATATGAGGAGTATAAAACCCTACATAACCTTCAGGATATGAACAGACCCACAGATCAGTACGACTGTCTGAGGAACACAAACAGGATGAACTCAGAAAACCTTCCTGAAACACTTCATTTCGTAACACTATAGCACTCGACCTTACAGGCAACACAAAGCAAGAAATATTGAAAAAATATTAAAAAACAATGCTTCCATAACCCTCAAAATGAAATCATTTAAAATCTTTCACACACACACACACATACGTTAAGTTTACTTTAAGTGTGTGTGAGAGAGAGAGAGAGACAGAGAGAGAGAGAGAGACAGAGAGAGAGAGATGGTTTTTGACCTAATAAGATTTTTTCAAACTGTAATTTCTTTATGTAGTTTTTTTCCTTTTATAAAGCTGACCGAGACTCGGGTGTGTGCTTGCACTTTGTTGGAAAGGCTATAACTTCTGCAGCTGAATGCAGAAGGAAATGATGACGTGTGTGTGTGTGTGTGTGTGTGTGTGTGTGTGTGTGTGTGTGTGTGCGCGCATGCGCATGTTGTACAGTATACCTCAGGAAGTATGCACTGTTAGCTGGCCTGGTAGTTTAACAATGTGAGAGGTTTAAATTGATTACGTAGAGGTTAATAGGGTCTAGAATCGTCTGTCCTGATTGCAAACTGCATGTTTGTTTTTGTGTTTTCTAGGAGTCTAATCCATTCCAGCAGAAGAGATCAGACACTTCAGGACGTAGCTGTATATCAGCGTTTTTGACCAATATTCAAAGATGGAGACCTCAGATCTGAACACAGATAATGAAGCCCGACCCTCTAAAAAGAGGTAACATCCTTATCCTACCCATGTCCTTGTATTTTAGTTATTAACTGTTCATATCTAAAATATTTAATGAGAACATATGAAAGGAACAACTTAACCGAAGTTTCTACTTCGAATGGAAGCTAGTAGTCACGACTTAGCATGAAACAAATACTAGACTCTGTTTATAGTAAAATTAGGTCATCATTAAATTAAGAGGTGTGTAAAAAAACTGTAAAGAGTGTGTATAAATCACTAAAGGACTGTCTATAATGTATAATGCAGTAAAGAACAGATAAAGAGAACAGACTCACCAACACCCAGCTGTGTCTCCATGAAGAGTGATGCGTCTATTGATCATCTTTGGGGCTTTAAAGATAGAGGCTCCTCGTCTGTACACAGGTAACGTCTCCTCCTCACTGCTCCTCACTGAGATTCACATTGCTTTATCCAGTCCAGAGTCATTAGCGGCATTTTGATATTTATCAGTTTATGTTATACTTTAATTAGGTTTTAATAATGCTACAACATTTTCACTAAATATTTTAGAGGAACTAATGTCAATATTTATATAGATCAGTGTTTCACAGTATCATATAGGTAATATGGAAGCAAATAAATCTGATAATAATATTAATATTAATATTAATAATAATATATATTATTAGAGGGCATTACCAAATAAAGAGAAGTAGAAGAGCCCAGAGGTTGAAAACAGGGTCAGAATCACTCGATATGACAATAAAATAATAGTAAGGGCTATTAAAATAGTTCATGCCAGTAATAAAGACTGTATAAATCACTGCCTTATGTCTGTGTTGTGCAGTGAAATCCAGATAAAGAGATCAGACTCACCAACACCCAGCTGTGTCTCCATGAAGAGTGATGATTCGATGGATACGCCTCTGGAATTTAAAGAAAGAGACTCCTCATCTGTACACAGGTAACATCTCCTCACTGTTAAATCCACTGCTGAGGGAAAAGCTGGGATACACAGTCGTTAGCAGAAATTTAGATAATTATGATATAGTATTATACTTTATTCAGTTTTTAGTAACACTACAATACTTTCAAATCTTTAGAGGAGTGTAAATGTTGTTCAGGTCAAAATGTTTACAGGTGACGTGTGAACAAATGTTAACGCAAGAAATGCACAGCTCCAGTTTCGATCCTGAGCTCAGGTTAATGTCCGTGTGGAGTTTCACGTGTTCTCCCTGTGTCTGTGTTTCCTGTGGGTTCGCTGGTTCCTTCCCACCTCCCAAAAACATTCCAGTAGGTGGACTGGCTATGCTGAGTTGCCCCTATGTGTGATGGACTGGTGTCAGTATTACCCAGTATGCCCCTGTCCTCCGTTATGAATATTTCTATTCAGTTACATCCCTAATGGCCATAAATGAAGAAAAAACAAGCAACAAAAACTTAGTGTAAAATACCTAGAATGAAAACCGGGGCAGATTTTTTTCTCCAGTTCCTCAGTGTTCCTGATTGGTGACATCGTATTTAGCACCGTGTTCTCTGTAATGCACTTATAAAGAATTAGTGTAGAAGCAATTAAGGCTGAAGTTCAGACTATATTTATATATTTCTCCTCTACGTCCTTTACACTGACGAGTGTCGCAGTCAGTTTGAGAATTGGTACATTCTGAAGTTTGCTAACGACATGGTGGGGATGAGTGTTGGTTGGTGAGGAGAGGGACCACAGCCCTGTCCTTGACTATTCTGTAAAGTGGTGTTGGGAGTGAATGTTGGTAAAACTAAAGATATGTGCATCTAATTTCGGCATAACTATATAGCTACCTCAGGTACCTTTGTTGAAGACCAATCTATTGACTTAGGGGAAAGTTATAAATATTTAGGCACTATAAATTAAATTTTGAAATGAACACAGATAGACTGTGCAAGATAAGTCAGCAAAGTCTCTTTTGTCTGAGGAAATTAGATAAATTCCATATTGACAGGACATTGATGACTGTTTTTATAGGGCTTATATTGAATCCTTTTTTTTTTTTTTTTTTACATTTTCATTGATTTGTTGGTTTGCCTCTTTAAAAGTTAAACAAAAAAAAATGCACTGGTGACGATGTAAATACTTGTAGTAAAGTGTTAGGAGAGAAACTGCCTGGGTTGTCAGATTTTTCTACTAAGCAGATACTTAAGTCAAGTCAAGTCAAGTGGCTTTATTGTCTTTTCAACCACATACAGCTATTTAGTACACAGTGAAACGAAACAGCGTTCCTCCAGGACCATGGTGCTACATAAAACAACACAGAACTACAGGAGACTGTACATTTCTACATGTGCAAACAGCACAAGACAGTACAATAACTACAAAAACAGTACAGTGACTACCAAAACAGGACAACAGGCACAGTAAGAGACAGTGCAACGCCGACTAGTACACAGTTCTAGTAAGAAAGTGAATCAGATGTAGCAGCAGTGCAAAAGAATAACAATATAGTAAGTTGCTGTAAATGTAAACATAGCTTAATATGACATAGTATTCAGCAGATAAGCTTACACCATATATGGACATAGCAGTTTTTGGGGTAGCAGCCAGGCAGAGAGTATGAGAAGTGACAAAAAATTATATACCATATTTTATAAATACTGTAGCAGCAGGTAGTAAATACGGAAATGTGCAAAAATTGCAAAGAGAGTGGGATGGTGTTCAGTTGAGTATGAGTGTGTGTGTGAGTGTGTGTTGTCAGACTAGTATCTAAATGTTGAGGCGTCTGATGGCTTGGGGGAAGAAACTGTTCCACAGTCTGGTAGTGAGGCCCGAATGCTTCGGTACCATTTACCAGACGGCAGGAGGGTAAAGAGTGTGTGTGAGGGGTGTGTGGGGTCGTCCACAATGCTGGTGGCTTTGCGGATGCAGCGTGTGTTGTAAATGTCTGTGACGGAGGGAAGAGAGACCCTGATGATCTTCTCAGCTGTCCTCACTATCCGCTGTAGGGTCTTGCGATCCGAGACAGTGCAATTCCCAAACCAGGCAGTGATGCAGCTGCTCAGGATGCTTTTAGTAGTCCTTCTGTAGAACATGGTGAGGGAGATGGGCTTTCCTCAGCCTTTGCAGAAACTAGAGATGCTGCTGGGCCTTCTTGGTTATGGAGCTGGTGTTGAGGGACCAGGTGAGGTTCTCTGCCAGGTGAACACCAAGTAATTTAGTGCTCTTGACGATCTCTATGGAGGAGCTGCTGATGTTCAGAGGAGAGTGGTCATTCTGTGCTCTTCTGAAGTCAACAACCATCTCTTTAATTTTGTCCACGTTCAGAGACAGGTTGTTGGTTCTGCACCAATCCGTTAGCCGCTGCACCTCCTCTCTGTATGCTGACTCATTGTTCTTGCTGATGAGACCCACCACGGTCGTGTCATCGGCGAACATGATGTGATTCGCGCTGTGCATTGCTACACAGTCGTGAGTCAGCAGAGTGAGCAGCAATGGACTG